AACCCAAAGTCTGACCAATTGAGCAACCCCTCAAGGTTAGACTATCCCCATTAGCATTCTTATAATCTATTAATGTACATATGCCATCAATTATGACACGAATAATATTTTATCAAAAACAATACATAAACGAGCTCAAAGTGTCAAATATGTAAACATCATAAATTACATAACGTCAGTGATCATTTCCAATAATGCCCATTCTTTTGACATGTTCATTAAATGTCTGGGGTGACAATCCTTTTGTTAGTGGATCCGCAATCATAAGATTGATGTTAATATGCTCGATTGACACTTTTTGTTTTTGAGCTTCTTCTTTAACGTCAAAGTACTTCAATTCCATGTGTTTTAATACCTTTAGAGTACTTGTTCTTTAAAAAGAAGACCGCTGTAGAATTATCACAAGCTGCTTGGCACTGCTATCGACAATTCCAAAACTTGAAATAAAGTTTTGCAGCGAATTTCCTTGAACTGTGGTCTCAAAGCACACCAATAACTTAGCTTCTATAGTGGCTGCAGCAATGACCGACTGTTTGCACTTTTTAACGATACAACCCCTTCAGCCAAGAGGAATAGGTAGGCAAATGTGGACTTTCTAGTATCCACACATCTAATAAAGTTTGAATCTGAATACTCAATGACCTCCAAATTATCAGATCTCCTAGAAGTGAGCATGTGGTCTTTCGTTCCTTGCAAGCATCTAACACATTTCTTTGCAGCTTTCCAATGATCGGGTTACTTTGATACCTGGCCAGCATTCCGACCTGATGCAAGTCTGAGTATACATTAAACTCCAAACAAAAGATACATAAGGAATAACTACAATTTGTTTGCGTTCCAATTCGTTCTTAGGACATTGCATGAGACTAAATTTGTGGAATATTGCTTGATTTAATATTTTAGTGGATAGATAAACAACTGTTGGAGCAAGGAAGTGAAAACAGGCTGAAGCTTTATTTTTGTGATTCAGGGGTGGTGGTTTATGAATACGAATTGAAGATGGGGTGGGGTAAATCTGTCTCTCTTCCATCCCAAGCTCTTCCTGCTCCACCTCCTGGACATATGGCCATCAGGAGTAAGGAGGTCAGTGATTATCCATCTTCCAAAATATTATAATTTGAAGTTTTCTTTTCGTTTCTCATTGGGATTTTTTCTCCTTGCTGGTTGAGGATGGTTTCCCAATTGAGAAACATTCTTGATTGTCACAATGCCCTTTTCTTAGTTTATATCATGTTATTTTTCTCTGGCTGTTGATATAGACATTGATAATATTTCTCCTGTTGACAGGGTGCCACTGTTATCTTGTCTGGTCTGTCTGGTCCTCCAGTGACATCAGTTCCGAGCCAAAATTCTGAGCTGGTGAGATATTTTTATTGGTTATGTAGTTCTATGCTTATTTTTAATCTTTCTCGACAAATTAATCTCATATTCAAACATGCAGAGAAGTTAAAGTCCCTATACGTAGCTGTATAAGAAATTCTGTTCTCATGGAACGTCGAAACAGCCAAGAAATTTTTGCACTTGTGTGGACATATCTGGAAACACAAATAAATAAATAAATAAAGTGTACTAAGGCATTCATATGGAATTCTACTAATAAAGAAAATGGGCTAATCTTAAAATTAATTTATGTTTGACCATCACGTACACAGTAATAAGAGAGGCCTTGCTTTCTAATTCATCTAATTTGATTTCCTCATACTGTAGCTATGCTACCTGCTATATAATGATTTTGGCCTTCCTAATGCTGCAACAAATTTTTCTTATTTGCAAAAATGCAAGCAATCGGCATCCTAGCTGTAGAGTAGTTTTGTAATGATGTTGATACTTGATGCGTTCAACCAACATGTACCTTTTAATTTGAGAGACTTCTATTCAAGGGATTGGAATATAAAGTTTCAGTTCAATAATATGAAATGTCCAAGTAAATTAAACGGAACACTTGTGCTTTTTTAAAATTCAAGAAATTTGGAAAGTTTGACTTCCTGTATCCCTGATTGTGAATGCCTTCATTTACTGCTTCGGACTTTCCAAATTATACACTTTCGTAAAACTTTTGTTTATTTGACATTAGATATCACACCATATTACAATACCAAAGAGATATCTTTCCATCTGAATTTTTTGATGAGCTGACTTAGGTTCTTATCTGTTATTTTATGTAGATGTATGGCTGATTCTTGATAATTTCATGACCACAAAGGTCGTTCCACTTTGTGCAAACTTACAGCTCTGTTCATAACTTTTCCATGCTGATGTTTGAGCATTTAAAATTTTCACTAGCATGACGGCAACTGATCTTTGCACCTGTTTTTCTCTGCTGCTTGCATGCATCTGATTCTCAAGGTCCTAGAGCCCATAAGATCTAAAAGTTTATGGGGTGAAAAGATAGCGGAGGAGATAAAAAGCAATCCACATTTAATTCAATACCTTTTCACACGTCTCTCATTTAATTTTACCTTTTCAGGACTAAATTATAATTTCTTGTTTGCTTGCTCTACTTGGACGTGTAGGTTCTCACTCCAAATGTACCTGATATTAATGTTGTTGCACCAGATGACAATCATCTACACCATGTTATTGATACAATGGCTCTCTATGTTCTTGACGGTGGCTGCGCATTCGAGCAAGCTATAATGGAGTGCGGCCGTGGAAATCCTCTTTTTAGTTTTTTGTTTGATCTTAGTTCCAAGGAGCATACTTACTATGTTTGGAGGCTATACTCATTTGCGCAGGTATATCTATTAAACTCCCGAAGAAATGTGTTCTGAAACCTTCATGATACAAAAGCAATTTCATTCTAATTCATTGCACTCATGTTTTGCAATTTTATTTTTATAGTTTCCTACCCAAATATCAAATGACGGCTCTTATGGCTTAGGTTGCTTAAATAAATTTAGAGGGGTGTCCTCAATTGGGATTTTATTGGATTTTAAAATATTATACAGTTTAATGAATTTTATGAATTTGAATAGATTTTTACAGAATCCTTAAGAATCTTATTAAAAAGGGTAAAATTTCAAAAGAGTTTGTCACGTGTATTTTTAAGTTTGAAACCATCCAAATCTCTTGAATCCCTTTACTAATGAAATCCTTATAAATCCACGGGTTATTTGGGATACCTTATTTAGGGATGACAATGCTTTAAAAAATTAAAATTAAAGATAATGTTATAAAGAAACAAAAATTGGAGACAAAAGTGAATCATATCATCTGACATGTTATTGTCAGATAAATAAGTAACTTATAAGCTTAGCCAAACATTATATTATTAGGTCTGTCAATTGGGCGAGAGCTCAATTTTTCTCCTTCCCCCTTTTGCATTTTACCGAGCTCCTGGAAGATACAACACCGTTTTCGTAAGACCGTGTTTATATAAATATATATAAAAATTGATTTTAATTTCAGGATACATTCAAACATAATCCTGAATAAGCTGGAAGAGAACAGCATATGTTCAAGCTTCCTAGTTTTTTTTAAAATAAAATCCATTGTTGAAAATTCAAATAGATATGGGATTGAAATTCAAACATAATCCTTAGTAAGCAGGTAGAGAATAGCATATGCTAATGTCAAAATCCATGGTTTGTGCAACTGCAGGGGGATACACTTCAGCGATGGCGAACAGAGCCATTTATCATGATAACCAGTAGTGGGAGGTTAACACCCTTCCTTAAATAAATTTGATATGTTCTCATTTATTGCAAAGTATATTTATATATTTGGATAGCCTAACGATTGAGTTTTTCCCTTGTTCTGAAATAAGAAACTGTTAAATGGGACAATTAGGCATGGGATAAATTTTTTGGTCATCTTTTCATTCTAGTTTCAAGGAATTACAGAAGCAAATACTTCCATCCTAGATGATTAAGGATAATATATATATCCTCTCTATTAATTTCTTTGATAGTTCTTCCTGGTTTTATGTATAGATGGATACCGCCACCTCTACCGACAGCGAAAGGACCAGAACATGAAAAGGAGTCTGATAACACTTATGCTGCTGGGAAAAGCAAGGTACTTTTCCAGTTTTTACGCTTTTCACTGGAGTTTGGTACTCTATTTTAGTTTGAATGATTACTTGTTTTGCATAATTCGGTATGTTCACTACAAGAATTGTACCCCATGCTTTTTACAGCGAATAGAAGTGGAACGAACATTGTCTGATGCCCAAAGAGATGAATTTGAGGACATGCTACGTGCGTTGACTTTAGAAAGAAGCCAGATAAAAGAAGCTATGGGTTTTTCCTTGGATAATGCTGATGCAGCTGGAGAGGTAATTGTTTACGCTGATTTTACTGTAATAGGTTTTTCGGTTTGTTCAATAAGATCTCGAGCCAAGTAATGCCTTTTAAACTGTCAACTTCATCCGAAATTAAGATTGGCTCTGCAATAACCCGGGCAATGAGGCTAAAATAGTTAATTATGTATTCATGGTCAAGGCTGTCCATTTGATGCCTTATATTTTGACTATAAATGCTGATATTAAATACATTGACCTTCAGTACTGGCTACTCTTTCTGCTATCTGAGAAAAGGTGGATAGAATAAAAATCAGAGTTGGTTTGTTAAATTGTTTAAAGAGATTTCAATGGTACCGTATCTTATGTATTTTCAATCTTCACTCGTCTGTAGGTAGTTGAAGTGCTAACTGAGTCCTTGACGCTTAAAGAGACTCCTATCCCAACAAAAGTTGCACGACTCATGCTTGTTTCAGACATTTTACATAATAGTAGTGCTCCTGTAAAGAATGCATCTGCATATCGCACCAAATTTGAAGGAACTCTACCAGACATTATGGAAAGCTTTAATGACTTGTATCGTGGTATAACAGGACGAATAACAGCTGAGGCCCTTAAGGTAAGTCACGTTTCTTAGCTCATTTTTGCCTACAGGCATGCCGTTGCCATATTGCCTATTTTTCCTTCTTCAGAATTTAAGGTTTCCTTGTCCAAATTTTGTAGGAACGCGTTCTGAAAGTTCTTCAAGTGTGGGCTGACTGGTTTCTGTTTTCGGATGCATATGTGAATGGGTTGCGAGCTACCTTTCTCCGTTCGGGTAACTCGGGCGTGATTCCTTTCCATTCTATAAGTGGTGATGCCCCTGAGCTAGACAGTAAGGTTAGTTCCGATGGCATGGTTGATGGGATCAAGACTAACCAAGATGCTGCATTGGCAATTGGGAAAGGAGCTGCCATGCAGGAGCTGTTGAGCTTGCCCCTTGCTGAGCTAGAGAGACGATGTAGACACAATGGATTATCGCTTATTGGTGGAAGAGAAACGATGGTTGCAAGGTTACTTTATCTGGAAGAGGCAGAAAAGCTAAGGGGTTTAGATGACGAACTGAAGTCTGCACAAAACCAATCTAATAGAGGCAGAAACCCTAGTGGCCAAAGTGAAACAAAATTTGAAATGGATCCAGAGGGTATGGCAAGAAGGAAAAGTAATTTGGATGAGGATATGAAGTCAAAAAGAACAGAATCCTTATCCCTGTTAAATCCCCTTTCACACTTTGAACTCAACTCTATGAGTTCCGCGAAAAATGGATCTTTGCTGCCAACCTCTAAGTGGGCCAGGGAGGATATTGAAAGTGACGAGGAACAAGAAAGAAAAGCAAAGGATCTGGGGTTAACTTATTCGTCTTCTGGGAGTGAACGAGCCGGTGAAAGTCTTAGTATAACTGAGGAAGTGGAGTCCACTGCTGTTGCAAGCAATTCATCACATCTTGATGGTGGAATGAATGAAGAACAGAGGTATTATGGTTGTTTGTTTTCTCTTGTATGCTTTCAATAGATTTAATTTGTTTTTCTTAAGTACTATATAAAAGATTTATATTTTATTGCTTATGTTGGATTGTCAGTAGTGGAAATCAAGTTAGATGTAGCGTAGACTGTACATCTAATTGCTAATGATGCTTCTGACTGATCTTTGTGATTTTTCGGGATCTAACAGGCTGTTTTATCTTTTGATCCTTTTGAAAGATGGATCTGCCAAATATAGCTAATAGACTATTAAAAAGATCTCATAGTCCATAATTTTTTGATCGCCCCTTTAGGTCTCTCCAACAATTATTCCGAAAATTAAATATCTGATTTGACCTATCATCAAATATGCAAGCATACATTTCACACTCGTTTGGTTAAGAGCAATATCAGTAAGGTGCTTGACTGTGTCTATGTTCTCAGGCAAAAATTGAGGCGTCTAGAGGTTGCTTTGATGGAATATCGTGAGGCTCTTGAAGAGCAAGGAGTAAAAAGTCCTCAGGAAATTGAAAGAAAAGTGGCTACTCGTCGTAGTCGGCTACAATCTGAATTTGGTTTATTGGATACCAACACAGATTCCAGTAGAAGTAAGTGAAAAGCTTTTAATATATTGTACATGTTACATTCATAATGAGCTAGCTCTATTAGAATTTTGAACACATGACATTGATTACTATGCTTACTGTATTTGCACTGTAACGGCATGAATTAGTTCAACTGTGAAATGTCTTTTTCTAACTATTGTTACAACCATTTCAAATTTTTCTTTAAAAGCATCTAATATTAATTCCATTAGAGCTAGAAAATGCAAGACAATTAAACATTATGCGAAAAGTTTTCCAATTTGAATAAAAAGAATTACTGATGTGGACTTTTATAACGTCTGAGTTATTTGGGGAATCATCGGCTTTTATGGTGTAGAATTTGGATACACAGCATTTTAGCAGTCTTGAACGGTAACTTAATGTTATGGGCGTGTTCGGTAGAGATTAAAATCGGATTAAAATTGAAAAACTAGCCGTTATTGTTGACTTTTATTAGATGAGCGAGACTCAATAACGGCCATATTTTCAATTTTAATTGGATTTTAATCGGAAACAAACAGGCTCATAGTTAAACTTTTAATATTTAAATTGTGTAAGTTGTTTACAGGTTGAACTTTAAACTAACAATTGACAGATTGCATACTTGCTTGAGACCGTCAGATGACTTATTTTCCCCTTGAAATTGTTTTCATGGTAATCTTCTATTGTTGAAGACCTGATCTCCAAATTGATCAAAAGTTTGCAGCAGTTTTAACTTTGTTAACCCTTGCACATTTCTCATTTATATTGAGATTTTTTTCACATAAATCCTTCTTGAAAATTACCATGTAAACTTTGGTAAACTGCAGAGATGCCATCTTTAGATAGGAGGGACAGAAGAGATGATTCTCATGAACCTTCAAAGAAGCGTAGGCGTAGCCAAAGCGGAAGTGAAAGCCCTCAATGGAAATTCTCCACCAGAGATCGGGACCGGGACAGTGGTCGAGAGAAAAGTGGGAGCAGGGAGCGGGATGATTATGTAAGAGACAGGGATAGGAGAAGGGTGAAATAAGTTGCTATTATGCACTTCTATCAAGTGAGACTACCGAAGTATTAGTTTTCAAGAAATATGCATGAGAATGATATGAAGAATCCTGCTCGATTAATGTACTGTAAGCTGTAGCCAAATGCATGTCATTTTAAGATTGAATGATTCGCATCCAATTATGTTGGGCAGCTTTAGCACTATGGATTTTCTTTCTTACAACTTACAGAATTTGACACATTTTCGTGATATTTTGTTTGCTTTCGTTCTTGGTTCTGTGTTTAATATTCTTTGACAACTCTATTTGCATTTGTCACTCAAACAAGAAACTGCTGTTGATATATGTTGATGCAGCAAGCGTAAAAAATGGAGAATAACATCTTAATCTAAATTGGAACGGGTTTTAACAGCAGATGATTTCCTTTGATACACGTTCCTTACCCTCTGTCAAAGATGGGAGGGACATAGTAACTTAGTCAACCTCTAAATTGGAATTGGAGGGAGGAAAACATCTGTGTTGATCAAAAGTATTTCCCACACTGGTCTCTGCTAGCACACCCCTTGGAGGAATTTTGTACAAATCCATCGTCGGAACCCTTTTATTGTTTGGACAGGGGTCGCAGGCCTAGGCCACTCACGTTCCCAACATGAATTATAGAGGAGCCATAAGAGTAACGTCTTTTTGTGCCAAAAAGTTCATCTGATGTCATCTCTTCTCATCTCTGAATCTCCACAAGGGATAAGCACCCAATCGAGGTATTCTAATCATTGTGAAGAGCATGATGTTGATTTTGATATCATCTGATGCAACGAAAATGTCGAGCGAAATCCGTTGGCTCGAAGAATACCAGAAAGAGATTGCATTTTGGAACAAATTCGAAGTTTTATAAAAATATATCAAAAACAACCAAGAACGACTATTGTCTTGCAAGAATCTAAATAGAAACAAATTAAGGAATTCCCTAAACTAAACAATAAAATTTATATATCCCCAACTACAAATATTAATGAAAGAGTATCAAATGGTTAATAAAAACAAATAGTAAAATAATTAATTAATATGCAATTTCGAGTTGCATGGTATGTATTTTTGATTACGCATGAGTCTAATGTTCTAAGAAACTCCTCTAAGCAGTGTCTAAATAGTGCTTAGGCTCGAAGCTCGGGTAAAGCGACTTGCTTCGCGTCTAGGAGTTTTTTTTTTTCAATTCTTAAACGGTTGAATTTTTTTCTCTGTCTCTTTCGTCTTCCCTAAGCATGCTTTATTAAATTTTTTATTTTTTTACTTCTTTTATTTGACTTTAATTTATTATTATTTTTTAAAAGCTTTTCATTTGACTTTAATTTCAAATTTTAAAAAGATTTTATTAGTACAAAAGTTAAAAATGACCTTATTCGATAAATAGTTAAATAAAATTAAGCTACAGTGCTATCTACATATGTAATTACAATCTTGCCCATTAATTTCTTGAAAGCTTCGAAACCATGTATAAAGCTTCTATAAATTTATTAAGTTGGACATGTCTACTTGAAAAATGAAATTATGAAAAATAATCTAGTTTTTGTATTTCGACAACTTAAAAATTATATAATTGACTAATTATAGGAATTATTAAGTAAATATAATATTTTATAATTTTAGAGGTTTGATATGTACAATTTTAATTATTAAATGATTTTTGAAATGATTAAAAATTTAAAATAAGCAAACGCCTTTTAACACCTAAGCTCGTTTAAGCTTGTAAAGTTTAAAACTTCGCTTCTACGCCTAACCACGATTTACGCTTTTAGAACATTGCACATGACCAACCAAAGTTACCAATATGCTTCAACTATGAGGTTAAAATAAACAGAGACGTCAAATGGCGGGTTGAACCTCAGCCAGTTTCTTTATAGAGATTAGGGTTGTCCGTAGGTCGGTTCGGTTCGGTTCTGAAGAGACCCGAATCTACCCAAAACTTTCGGGTATTTAATAAATGGACCCGTCGGGTCCAAATATAATTATGGAACCGTTCTGGTTCGGTTCCTTTCGGTTCTGTTCGGTTCGGTTCGGTTTCGTACCATAATCAAATTTTTTAATATTTACAGCAACACTACATAAATACAACTAATGCCATTTCATTCGTAACTTTTACAAATTAACATAGCTCAATTCAAAAACATATAAATAACTGGCCGTCCAATAAGATTAATTCAATGCATACAAATACCAAAAAGTAAATATTAATATTATAGCAAAACTATATAAACNTTTAGAAAAAATAAAATAATTTAATTAATTCAATATAAAAATTAAAAAAATTATTTAGTTTCGGTTCTTATTCGGTTCTTCGGTTCTTGGTCTAGACCCGAGACCCGACCCAAACCCATCGATTCTCGATTCGGGTATCCGTTCGGATATTTAATTTATGAAGAACCGCTCGATTCGGTTCGGGTTCAGTTTGGTCCGGTTCGGTTCGAGACTTTTGGACACCCCTAACAGAGATTAGCTTGCCACAGTATTTGCTTTGTCACAATATATTTAACGATCTTGCAAATAAGCAATCTGTAAACAACATAATTTAATTCATGCTTGTGTGCAAAAGAATTGAAGTAAGATCAAGAAATCTATAATCATACAAAAGAATACATGCACGTACAAAAGGAAGCATTCCGTGTCACCATTCACCTCTAACAACCTGCAGTGCTGAATCCTTTTCGTTTTTGCTTTCATCATTTTGATGATGTAGAGTAATGCTATCTACTATCCCCGTTGTTAACGAAGGAAACAACTCAATATTCTCAGGTGCCACAGTTTCAGTAACCTCTTTTGAATCCAATACTTCTCCGGGAAGAACAGCCTACCCACAAGTTATCGAGCTGTGTCCTCGTAACCTTCAAAATGTGAAGCAACAAGCCTCCAATCCATGATGACGTAGAACTCCCGCGTTATCAATTGACATGAGCAAAGCAAAAAAAGTTCCTTCAATGCCTGGGGGGCAGAGTTTTGCACTTAGAACAAGATGTGGCATCCATTTGAGTCGCCGTATCATGGAAGAAACACTTGTATCAATCACCACAAAGAAAAAGTCCGGTATCCCAAGTTTTAAGTTTACACGTAGAACAAGTAGCAAATCGAGCATTCCCTAATAGTATCTGAGTCCAGAAGAGTAGATCGCGAAATGGGCAATCCTTTAATATGTATTGATACAGTATAGCTCCCAAAAGAGAGCCTACGGAGCCAATCGCCTGTATATAACCAATGATTTCCTGTTTTAATCACATGAACATTTATGAACGCAGAGAGTTGTCTGGTTGAGCTCCACAAATAATTACTCGATACTAGTATTCGATTTGGAATTTTTTACATATTGATAGATTACATATGATATCCATGATATCAAATTGAACTTCTCCATTTTTAAAATAGAGTATATGATATCCAAATTTTGCCCTTGTTTGATGCCATTATTTTGAGAAATAGAGTTTTGAATAGTGGTTTTTTTGGAAAATGTGTGGTTAAAAAAAAAAAAAGGAATTTTTTTTTGAATTTACGTGAAATTTTTTTAACGTATAAATATGTGGTTAAAAAAAAGTATAAGAATTAAAAAAGTTTTGAAATAATAGTCGTCAAACATTGGCTTTATATCTTGATGGAGACATACATTATGTTTGGAGAAAATTCCATTGTTAAGAAGTTCTACAAAAAACTCAATTTATTTCCATTATTTTCTGTACAGAATCTAGAGATAGACATGCTGTCAATTTTTCCAAATCTGAGAAGTTTGATATAACAGAGAACATGGTTATCTTAAACTTGGTCTCAGTCACCTTCTTATAGCGCATAAAATCATTGAATCCAATTCCAAGGTCAAGTTCTTCCTTTTTGGTGTATATTTGCTCTTTGCAGGTGCAAATCACTAATTTTTTGTTCACAACAAATTCATTAAAAAGCCAGACTAGCTCAATGTATTTTTTTCCTTGTAGATACTGGCAAATGGATGTTTCCTGTTGAAAAATCTTTTGGCTTGGTCCCTAATTAGTGTAGTGAGAACTCCAAATTGACACCTGAGAAAATGATGGACCTGCCTTTGAATTTGTTACCCAGTAGAACGTCCCTTCGGAGATGCTTAAACACATTGAGAAGGACAAGTACATGTATAAACATGGTCTCCACACATCATGGTATATCAAGATCTTCCACATAGCTTTGCCAGCATCAAGAAAGTTCTGGTTGATCTGATATCAAGAATTCAAGATTGTAATCTTATCCTTGCTAAAAGGATAAGAACCTTGATTAAAAGATCAAGTTGTTAGAGATGGACACATGTATTTATTTAAATTTAGTCTTCACCACGTCCCCTAACATAGGGGACATGGTTACTTTTAATCAAACACATGCAGAATTTTAAACTATGGGTGGTGACAAGACCAAAACCCAAGTCTTCTGCCTCTGGTTTGATACCTTGATAAACTACCTCATCTAAATGCCTAGGCTGTTAGAGAGAGCACATGTATTTATTTAAATTTAGTCTTCAACGAAGCCACAACAATGCAATAGAAGTGCATTAGTACCTGCTGATATGCAAAACACCAACAACACAAGTCCAGCTGGTGTTACCAACAAACCCAACACCCCCTTGAATTCAGAGGAAATTTCAAAAATGACAAATCAGATTTGCATATGCATTTTAATACCTAACCATAGGGACAATATTTTCTCAAGTATACGAAGAATCTAACCTGTGGACCAATTAAGTCAACAAAGATACCAAAAGAGAATCCCACAAGTGACCCAATTGAAGCACTTAGTTCACATAAGCTTTGCATGTAGGCTGCAAGGGACGGATGGTTACTACTGTTCTGGGCGACACATGCATCAACAGTCACATCTGCAATACATAATCTACATCCCTTGAAAAATTTCTTCCTCAACATTTGCATTTCAAATATCGTACCGCGCTTCCGTTGCACACTTTGGAAACAATACATAATCGTTGAAAGTTTGGACGATCTGAATTGATATACGTTCATGGGTTATATGGCCATGCTCTTTATCATTTGTAACGTCTCGACTCGTAAAGTAATAGAATTATAATGTAGAAATATATTGATTACCTTCAAGATGGAAATATCACGGTTCTAAAAGTGGCAAAGGGAGGTAGTGGCCAGTGGGGTTCCGAGGCCTTGCTGAAATTTGCATTTTTAAAAAAATAAAAATTAAATAAAAAATTACTGTGAGAGATAGAGTTTAATAATAAATAGAATATGACGGTGAAAAACTAACATATAAATTCCACCAACTCAAGTATTTATTGATTTATCCTTTATTCTTTATGCCAAGATTTTTAGGGGTATAACTTGTTTAGCGTCTACCTAATTAGTCTCTGTTTGGTACACATTCTTTTAAAATACATTATTTCAAAATTCATTTTCAACGACACATTTTTCAATAAAATAATATTTTATATCACATCAATAACTTTTCCTTTCTTTTTAACTACATATTTCCCATCATATCACTATTTAAAATATATTCTTTTTAAAATTAACTCATTTTGTTAAAAAAAATTAATATTATTATACAATATTGTTGTTTCAATAATTTTATTGTTGCTCGAATATTTAGCCCCCGTTTGGGCTACCTTTTTATTTCATTAAAATGAAAAATATGACTGTTATCAATCACATCAACATTTAAATTCAAATTTTCTATCTCTTATGTGGGCCCCAATAACGGCTATATTTTCATTCTACAATAATTTGGCTCAAACAAGGCCTAAATATTAATAATCGAACTGCTCTTATGATCGCAGATTCGAATATACTCGCTGAACGGAGGCCATTGTCACGAANAAATTGCTCCCAATTGTTCAATCATTTAATAACCAAAGTTATTCTTTGATAAATGATCACTATGAGTCAGACTCAATCAAATTTGATCAATAATTTTTTCCTGTCGTTAAGACGGAGAACTGAATCAAGAATTTTCTTTCATCATCATCAATCAAATCACTGTTCGCAACCCAAGATTCTATTTTATCATCAATCTAACCCCGTTCGCGTTTTTTCTTTTTCTTATCAAAATGAATAGATATCTTTACTTGTATGGTTTTTTACGTAGATAACTAATGTTCCCATTGAGTCATTGACACTGAGTTCTAACTATGCTACTGGTTCAATGTATCGTAGTCTTATCCTTAAAGTGTTTCTGATGGCATCCACCGATGTCCCCCATCTCTGCAACGCACAACATACAGGTGTAAATAATAAGAATTTTGCTATTTGTACACTGGGGTTGACACTTCGATGTACACCTCCTCACAAAAGAGGGGGCCCACGTTCAACTAAAAATTTGCGGGTCCCTGTATTGTGGGGCGCTATCACTATGCAAAACCCAAACAATAATGCTCTTTAAATACGATGGCAATGAATGATGAGAATAATGTACAAACATACATTGTGCACATATCTCTATTCAAATATAACTCCTGCCAATAACAAGCGCATTATCACTAGTTTCTGTGGGGCCATCATGGTCTACTCAAGATCCCTCGTTGTAAAAGATAATGAAAAATAATAAATATTTTTTGAAAATAATAAAATTAAGTGTTAAATATAAAGAGTCTGTTGAAATATTTAAAAATGTATAGATACTCTCTAAATTATAAAATATGCAATTAAAAATAGAGAATCTCTTAAAAATTCTCTTACCGACTTTTTTTAATAATAAAAACTACACTTGCACCCATTCCAATCTACCAAATCTACGAAAGGAAGACACCTCAATATGTTGTCGCCCCTCACCACGATTGGGATCTCGTGGTACGAGATTTTTGCAGTCATTTGTTCTCCTACCTCTCCAAGCCACCATTGAGTTTGCCGATCTAGATCTAGACGAATTTTTAGGTGAATTTTGATGGTCGTTTTGCAATCGGATTGAGATCACATGCAACTCAGATATATCTTGATTCAAATTCGGTTTGAATGTCAATATCATGTTTGATTTTTTGGAATTGATACATAAGAAACATTGGATTAATTGGAATTCAGCACTTCCATTCAGTTGAGAATGGCATAATGGATGACCGAACACACACGCATGGGAGGGTTGGCATTTTTTAATTCAGGTGGGACCCACGCAGAAAATGTGAGGGCTGGTCAACCCTATGTCAAATTTTTGGGCACTTCAGCAAAATTCCAATTTTTCTCCTTTCCCCTTTTGGGTTTTATCCTGCTCCTGGAAGATACGACGCCATTTTCGTAACATTTGAGTACTCTGTTTACTATAAACCCCTGCATTTGGGATTCCTTTCCCACCACCACATCATCGCCACCGCCGCCGCCGGTGGTCTCCAAATAGGGCGCAAATCCAACTTCTGTTTAACCTAATTATAAAAAACTAGTAATGGAAGACAAGCCCTCGACGTTGAGTTCCTCCCCCACTTCCGCCAATTACACCACCCCCAAAACAACAAAAGAGCTCGCAATTGACGGACAAAAACACCTCGAAGAAACAATTGAAGCCGCTTTCTTAATCCTCTCCGCCATGAACGACGAGCTTTGCAATCCCAATCTCTGGTCCACCACAACCTCCGCCACCACTACTCAGCCTAACATCACCGCCGCCGCTGCTGCTAATACTACTATTGCTAATGGCGGGCCTACTAGTATGAGTATTGGGCAACACTCGAATGGTGACGTTCTATCGGACTCGTCTTCTTCCGCTTCTTCCTCCGCCTCCGCCTCTGCCGCCCAGTCCCATCACCCTAACTTTGATATCGGCGGTGGGGCTCTTGATGAGGCCCGCCTCCGGTACAAGGCCGCTGTGGCGGCCCTGCGCTCTGTTCTCACTGCCATTTCGAATGCTGAAAAGGTAATTTTTTTCGTACTAATTTTTTAGTGTGTATTATGTAATACTAGACTAGATGGGACTATACAATGAACAAGAATGTAGTGTCCAAGACTATCCAATCCTCCTAGTAAACATGCTATTGGCGCTTTAAGAATTCTCTACTATGCGGCCTCCGAATTCATTAATCTTATGATAGGAAGGTAAAATGGTAATGTAGAATTCAAAATGGTGGTAGAATGGTGCCTTTCTTGTTGTACTTAGACGTGTTTTGAATTATTATCACCCAGGCTTGCTAAACTAGATATTCATTAGTTTCATTTCTTGAATTGATTACAAGTGGACCCTTCAATTATTATAGGCAAAGGCGCCTGAAGCTGTTTCATCAAGCAGTTCTGTATCTCCTGCAGACCAAACTGAAATGGAGAAGCTTGAAGAGCAGGCCTTTACCTTAAGAAAGGTATGGGATATGTTTTCACCAGGAGACTGGACTAAAAATAATTGTAAGCCAGGCTGGCTAATATGTGGAAAAATTGTATGGGCCCCCCTAAATCCGCCAGTGGTTTTCATGAATCATTTTTTGCATGCTAGCGAGTTGCATTACTTGCGATGATAAATCATTTTTCGTCTATATGAATTCTTTTCTCAGATCTTGTATTGTCACTGCTTTAAGTGGCATTGCACAACAGGTGAAAGAGTTTTTTGTAGATTCATTTTACTGAAAATTTTGAGTTGCCATGTCACGTGAGAAGGTTACATGTTAACTATCCCATCCCTTCTACTCGTCATCTTAAAAGTCCATCTCATTTATTGTTGTTGTGCTCATGGAAAGACATTCGATTGTATTAAAGTTTCCTGGCACGCTCGACTGGGAAATACAAAGAATGGAAGGTTTGGCTAAGCTTAAAATTTTAACTTATAAGCAAAAAAAGCATGTTTCAAAAGTAAATAATCATTTTAATTGAGTAAAACTAGAAATAATTTACTTATTTTGATAGTAGGGTACGAATTACTTTAAAGTCAGTAATTTTTTGACTTGGAAATAAGGAAAAAAAATGGAAGTACCCCTAAAACTTTCATGCATTTATATGTCTAAATTTAAATTTTGATAGTCTAGTATTACGAGCCCAGTCAAAGAGTGCTTGGTTTACATAGGAAATGGAAGCCAAATATTAGTTCAATTTAAGTTTACCATATGCCTTGAAGGATTTTGTAATGTGTAAATGAGTTGCTTGATATAATGGTAAGGTGCCCGCTGGTACCACTATGCACCTTACCATGGTGGGTTGAACCTAGGTTGCTTGCTTGTACCACTATGCACCCTATCAATTTGCCAATTAACCCTTTTACTCGTTGTAAAATGCAAACAAAACCATTTTAGGGTACACTGTAAACTTAAATTGGACTAGTATTGGGTTTCCATTCCCCACATTGGTCAAGCACGAGACTCGTCTATAGGCTGGACTCAGAGTACAATACCATCAAAATTTAAACTTCAGACATATAAATGCATGAAAGATTTCAGGTACTACAAAAAATAACTTAATCAACCATGTTTAAAGGCAAATACTCAAAAGGAATGTTTTACTAATTATCAAGCTTATCCAAATGATGAATAAAAGTCAATCTGTCATTGGGAGATGACATTTGATGTGAAGCAAATATTCTTAACTGGAGGATATAGATGATGTTGTCTGTTTGCATTCACTTTGCTTTTGTGTAACAAAATAGTGATATATAGACTTTGGCTTGGTAGAAAACACGTCCTTAGTAAAAGTCAAGATCACAGCATACCTTAGTAAAAGTCAAGATCACAGCTATGCTTTCTTCTGCATTTATTATAACTCGAAATGTTATTTCAAAACTTGAGTATGAATATTGGAGTTTACTATTATAGTCATTTATAAACGTAGTCTTGGCTATAAATATTGCGAAGATGGAGGGAGTGATGAGAAGATCTTAAGTATGTCTAACTACATATATATTTGAACTTTAATCTGTAGTTTTATCGATTCGTTTCTGAAAAATATTCCTGCATCCGTTTAATCATCTGAAGAAGTCATTAATATGCAATTGAGTAAATATTAAGTCGTTTACTGATTTATTTGTTCACTTATTTTGTGTTTAAGGGGTGGGGAAGAAGGGGGTTGGGTTGATTATGGAAGAGAATAGCCAACAGTATATTCAATATCACCAGAGATGATATTGTTCTTTGACTTGCTCATTCCAGTTTATTTCTTATTCAATTTAGTCTTATGTCAATAAGACACCATTCTATTGTATCTTTTCTGCAATAACTACTGACTTATCAAACATTTTTGCTTTCTTAGGAGCTCGCAAACAAGAATAAGCACCTGAAGCTTCTGATAGACCAGCTTCGAAATCTTATAGCTGACATATCTACTTGGCAAAGTCCTTGTTCAGTATGAGTTCAGCTGGATTTTGCAATATGTTTTATGGAAATGCAGATTTTTTCAAGGTCTTTCGACGTTGCTTAACTCTTTTCTGAATTTGACTTCACTATCTCTGTGTTATTGATCGTTTTAATGTTGCTGAGAGTATTCCTGGTCCACCCTTTTGTTTTAGTCAGTTGTAAGTTTGACAATATTGGTATAACCCTTGATGATAATGTGTATAAGCTTGGCAGATTAGCTTTAGCCTGGTTTCTGTTTCTTTTCTTTTGTTTTCCCTTTTTTGTTATTATCTTTTTCAGGCGTCATGGAAGAAATTCCAAAATTTTTCTGAAAGCCGATAATATAAACTGGTTATTTAATTTTTAAATGTTTTTCGTCGAAATTAATTGATAGAATATGAAAGAGTTTCCGAAAATGGGGTTGTATATTGCTCCCCTTTCATCTCAATATTTTGATTGATGTATCAGTAGATTACAGTTTGAAAAAACCCTGATATAATTTTGCTTGAACTTGGTTCGATTAAGGGATTCTGAGGCTCGAGTTCAAGTCAATTTAGCTCATTAGCTCACATTCAAGCAGGTATCACTTGTGCCTGTTTTCATGAGTTCTTAAACAACTAGACTCCGATTCGCACCAAAAGCTTCTATCTTTCGACCAGAATCGATTTCTACAAAGCTATGGAAAGACATTATAAACTTAATTGTTGTAGTCATGCTATATACACTGTCCATTTCATGTTGTCAAGCAAGTCGTCAGGTCATTAGCAAAAACCCGATTAAAAAATGTTTGTATCTTCTTAAATTTCCCATACTTGTTCCACAATTCACTGCAAAGAATTAGTATATCAATGTTGAGAAACCACCATTGCCATGTGAAATAAAATAGTCAACCCTTTCCCATATAAAAAGTTCCAAAAATAAAACGTTGGAACCTGGAAGAGAACACCTGTCAATTGTAAAATAAATAAATCTTTACACAAGCTCCAGTTAAAAAATGCATCAGCAAGATACTGAAAGAAGTTGAGGTAGAAATGGTCCAACATCATCATTTTCTAGTTCTTTCACACCACCCACTTTGCAAGAAATCAACTGCTGATTCAAACAGCAGATATAATCGAACTGTTGGTGCCCCATTCAAACAATGGTCGCTCTTTGCCGTCCGATTCAGGCTGGAGAACCCATTCTCAGCAGCCATCTTCATGTGAGTTCTCTTCCAAGCTAGAGCCTTAAAGGTTTAAATGGAATGTTCATTTAGCAACATCCAGCTATAGGAACAAATGTGTCTGCCCGTGTTGACATCGGGTGGCAGCTCAGATCCTCACCCCCTTTATGGTATAGCACTTTCTGCACATAGTATATCAGGTAGCATTGTGAGGCTCTGACCACCCCTTCATCCACTTCTGTTATCCAGGCATCGTCACATTTGTACCACTGGTTTCTTAAACGCAAATAAGTCACATAATGGCCAGATTCCAACATCCCTGAATGTGTAACCACAGCAAAAACCTCAAACTCTGTAGAAATGTCAGATTCATCGCTGTCAAAGGAAAATATTCTGTTTCCAAGTCTTTTCTTGACCACAGAAGAGGATAAATACGGCTTCATGTCTAAGGAGAAAGGAAACTGCAAATATTGATCAATTTTTCTTGACATTTTTCTAAATGTCGAGTGTCCAAATCGTTTTATGTGCAAACACAACACTAATGGAAGGTTTTTGATAGACATTTGCTTCAGTGCATCGTGCTTCTCCTGACAATTTTCGCAGTACAGTTTCTGATCTGACCCCAACTTTTCCGGTCTTGTGAAGAGGTCCAAGCAGCCTGCCAAAGTAGAATCAGCCGTGCTTGCATTTTGCTTGTTTGGCTTACTCTTACAATTGGATGGGTAGCAAGGACCCATATTCAGGTCAAGAGAAATGTCCACACAAGGATCATAAGTAGTCGAAGTAAACCCACATGATGTACACGTTACATCTGATCTCAGTAGTCCAGAGAAAACTCTGTGAGCAATACACTGGCAATCTCCATTTTCTGTGTTACAAAAGCTCTTCCAATCAGTGTAACAGAATCTATAAGACATAAAATTCTTGAATCTGAACAGTTCTCCAGAACAAAGCTTATTTTTTGGTTTTCCTCAATTTGTCTGATTCATTCACAATTCAATTCCAAATGACACCCAAAAACACATAATCATGCCACAAATATAACAGAACACAAGATTTTCAATTAGTTTTACATAAGATCCCCACCATTGGCACCTACACAACCGAATAGACACCTTCTCGTGCATGTCAATAACTTTCACAAACCACACCCTAAATCAACTTAAAAATAGATATAACAAAATCTTAGTATCTAGTTACCTTTAACTATGTTATTAGCTTTCCCCAATTTCTGATGGATTATGTCCAATATTGAAATAAAGAACTCATGAGCGTCTTGCTGCTCATAACTGGCAAGATTTTCTGAATGCTGCCACCAGCTGCAAAGAACAAAACTCATTATAGTCAGATTAATTTACTAAAACAATTAGTTTCATCAAACATACAACCACCAAGAAAAAGTGATTATAACAATATAAGAGATCAAGAACCTATGAATCTACTAAGGTTGATCACTTGTTCAGAGGATTCATGGGATGCATAGAAATCTCTGTTGGAATTTTAAAATGTAATGCTCACAATTACAAACATGCAAAACTTCCTCGTCAAGCAGTAAATCATATTAAATAAACAGAGAAGCCTTAACGAATAAACTTCATTTCCTATGTTTATATTTCAATTTGTGGATCTTAAAGGAGATCACCATCCAAAGTCTCAATTAAGCAATTAACTCTGCTACATTCTAACTTGAAACGAATGGGGCATTCACCACTCATATTACATGGATTAAGCAAATAGCAACAAATATCATAATCAAAGACAACCAAGAAGTGCTTAAAAGTAAGAGAGATCAATCATGCGAATTTAAACGAACCTGTAAAGAAATGGAGCTGGACTGTAAGGAGTCCGATCACCAGAAAACACAGCAGAAAAGATGACATCAATATCACAAGGCAAACACAATCGATCTGTCAACCTTACCCTGCAACTCTCGTGATTGTGTCTATCACTAAGGAAGTAATTCCTCAAAGGGGGTGCATGAAGCAATGCTTGCAACACGGAGTTCATAAAACAAGTGTTCCCAAGATTATTAAAACCCCTCAATCCCAAAGGGAAACATGACTTGGATCTCTGATCCCTATTCAAAATTAATCTTTTTGAGCACTTCGAATCCAAATCCACCCCAAAATCAAGCCTTTTCCTCTTGCTCAGCCTCAACCCACCACCCATCACAAGATTCACAACCCCATTTCCCCTTCTTGGTAACCCCGTTAAATGTTTGCTCATCACAGAGTTATCAAAATCAGGATCATACACCTGATCACAACACACACAGCAATAAAGCTCAGCCCTTTCCATATCCACAGCAATCTCATGACCACCACAAGATTGACTGTGCAAAAGGGCATGATTTGATTCAGGAGATGTGCAACATGACATTGACAAACAGATCAAACACTTAAAGAATCTACCTTCACACCCAGAGCAAAAACTGCATCTGGGCATCTCTGTTTTTGATTTATCAATCATTGTTCTAGGTATTCCTAACTAGAACTTTTTTTCTTGGATCAAATTATAGCCAAGTAAACCATGCTTCAGCTTATAATTTGCAAGGTGCTTGCATGGCTTTGGGGTTGTGCAAGCAGAGTTTCTTGATGCCATACTGATAAAAATGAATCTTTACTTGAAGAAGAAAAAAAGAATCTTGGTTTTGTATCAGAATCCTCAGATTTATTCAAAGAAAACAACTATATGATAAAAATGGTTAATTTTGCTTAATAACAAATAAATAACAAATATAAGAACTGTAGAAACAATCAACACCAAAAAAGGGTTGATCTGATAATGGATTTGAAGTCTTTATATGATAAAAATAAAAGGGAAAAAAATATTTAACTGGTATCAATCAATTTAAGGAAAGGAGGAGGAAGAGGAGGTGGTGGTGGTGGAGGCGCTATTTTGAGCCCCAGAGACCGACCTACTTTTCTGGCGTAGTACAGAGCACCTATGCTTTTCTACCTGGCTGATCTTTACCGTTAAATTTGATGATCAAGATTGGTGATGTCCGGCTGGCCATGAGTACCGTAGACCAAATTATCAAATTCCGGAACTGGCCTTTTGGTGGCATCACATTATTGGTTAAGGCTTTTTATCTGATTTAGGGGTCGACTATCAACTAATACTAATATTATCGACTAATCAAAATGTTTGATTATTAGACTTGATTTACCCATTTTTTTAATTACCTTTTTTGGAATCGAAATACTTAACTATGATTTAATTTTTTTTTTTGTTCGACAAAGTTTGTAATAAAAATTTTAGCAGATTTTGATAAAAATTAATAAAATAATTGTGATTAAATGTATGATAAAAGTTTTAAATACATAAGCTGTGTGCTTAAAATTGAAATCTGATCCACTAAAAGGTTGATGAAGTCTTAACAATTTTATTTTATTTTATTTCATTTTTTTCCCAAACAAGCACTAAAGTAAGACTTGGATTGGAAATTTGGTTTTTTGGTCCTTCCTCAACAAAATTATATGAATGTAAGCCTTCTCGATTTTCTGGTTGAATTTTACTCGGACCTAGAGCTTGTTTGAGTCATATTTTTGGAATATTAGATTAATGGAGAATGCATAGTTAAAAAACAAAGAAAAATTTGAATTTACGTGTAATATCATTTTTTTAAAAATTGTTGACTGAAAAAAAGAAAGAAAAAAATATATTTTAAAAATAATGAGGATTAAACAATTGAAAAGTAAATAGCCAAAGGGACTGTTTGTCTGTTTGGAGCTTGTATACGACTCTTTACATGTTTGGTTAGTCCTCGAGTTCTACCTCAAATTTTCTAGTCACATTAACAAATTTCCCTAGTTTTATAAATAATTACTGGGTAACAAAACGTAGTCATGTTTAGAATATAGGGCAATATAGTAAAAATCACATTTCACATGATAACAATACTATTTGAAGTCGGCTATATAAATAATTTTTCTTTTCAAGAGTTTGACACAAACACGACAAAGTTGTACATTTCATGAGCATAGGGTTTGTTAATTACAAACAAAGATCATTAATTATAAATATTTTTAAAACTTTTGAAGATTCAACTTGGATAATTATCTTGTAGTCCATGAAGAATTCGCTTCCATTTAGACACTGCTCATATGGTTTATAGGAAGGATTGAACGAAATTAAAATCTTGATCAAATGCTGTTCAATATGCCCAGTCCCGCGCGCTACAAGTTCTTTAAGATGTGATCATAGAAGAACATACGAATAGAACTTTAAAAATAAATAAAAGACTTGAAACTTGATCATAATATTATCGACGGATGACTATAGATCATGAGCACCCAGCACACATTTATTCATATTTATAATAAAATAAGCTCAATAACTCTCTATAACTAGCGTTTATCCAAAATATAGATAACAACTATCAAATAACAAATGAACAACTTTGAAATTATCATTTGATTTGAAATTGACAATCTTATCACTTCAACATTTTTTGATCTCCTTATCAATCATTTGATCCTCATAATTTCTGTTGCCAAGTTGTATGACGTTTCTAACATCTTCCTGCAAACTGTGCTAGGGTTGAAGACACAGTTTGGTTCGAAAAATTGAGTAATGATTTTTATTTTCATTCTTGCAAAGATATGTTACATGTATATATAAGCATTTAAAGTGTTTTCCATACTGTATGAATTGTATCTAAGCTTGTTGTGATAATCCAACCATGAGTAAGAGGACTTTCACCAGACAATGAGTTCATTTATTAATTTTAGTGTGAATTTCCTTTTTGTTTTTGTATTGTTTGGATTTGATGTGATGTATTTGGTAGGATCAGGTTTTCATTGGTGAAATGATCAACTTGTTTTTGAACTCATTTGTCAATTTTCGTATGAAATTTTTTGTTTTTGTTTTGTTTTGGTGGAATGTATTTGATGGACGATAATTAATAAGAGATGAGTGTAAAGAAGTTGTCAATATATACAAATAGCAAAGTGATAGTGGAAGAGAAGACTTGTGGCGTGTCGAGTGCTTCCAATGTCTCTAATACCAACCAAAAAAATATGAAAAGAACTTTAAAAATGAATAAAGGACTTGATTATAATATTATTGATCAATGACCATAGACCATAAGCACACAATTCACATTTATTTCTATTTATAATAAGATAAGCTCAACAACTCTATAAAGCTAATGTTTATCCAAAAAAATAAATAACAACTATCAAATAACAAATTATAACTTTGTATTTATCATTTGGTTTGAATTTGACAATCTTATCACTCCAAATTTTTTTGATCTCCTTATCGCTCATTTGATCCTCATCATTTATGTTACTAAGTTGTATGATGTTTCTAACATCTTCCCGCAAAATGTGCTGGGGTAGAATGCACAATTTGGTTAAAAAAATTGAGCAATGATTTTTTATCTTCATTATTGCGAATATATGTCACATGTATACATAAGCATTTCAAGTGCTTTCCATAATGCATGGGTTGTGTCTAAGACTACTGTGATGATCCAACCATGAATGTGAGGACTTTCACTAGACAATGAATAATTTGTTAATTTTGGTGTAAATTTTCTTTTTCTTTTTGTATTGTTTGGATTTGATGTGATGTATTTGGTAGGACGTGGTCTTCATTGGTGAAATGATCAACGTGTTTTTGAACTCATTTGTCAATTTGGTATGGAATTTTCTGTTTTTGTTTTGTTTGAATTTGGTGGGATGTATTTGATGGATAAGAATCAATGAGAGATGAGTGTAAAGAAGTTGTCAATATTTACGCATAGCAAAGTGATAGTAGAAGAGAAGACTTGTGGCGTGCCGAGTGCTTACAATGGCTCTAATACCAAGAAGAAAATATGAAAAGAAGGTTATAATAACAATAAAATAACAAATTAACAATTTTGTATTTATCGTTTGTTTTGAATTTGACAATCTTATCACTCCAAGATTTTCTGATTTCCTTATCGCTCGTTTGATTCTCATCATTTCTGTTGCCAAATTGTACGGCGTTTCTAACAATTATTCTACTCAATGTCATTAATTATATATATATTTAAAATTTTAAAGATTCAACTTGGATAAGTATCCCGTAGTCCGACAACAATTTGATTCCGTTTAAACACTACTCTTATGGTATATAGGAAGGGGTGAAATTAAAATCTTGATTATCAATCAATCCTATCATGCCTTCCAAATGGAGCCATGATAAAATCACTGCAATCCTTGAACCACCTTGAGAGAATCATTATGTACCTCTCCAATTTGTAGACCAGCCTCACGAGCAAAACAAAGCCCCTCCCTAATTGCTATACCCTCAACAACTTCAACCAAAGGTCGGCCAACCAATCTTCTAACCAGCGCTGCAACAACTACTTCATAGTTGTCCCATAATACTGCTCCAATTCCACTGTCATCCCTTTCAGTGACAACTGCATCTGAATTGATCCGGAGTATCCCTGCTGGAGGCTAGACCATTTTCTTTTCTTGTTGTGATTATCAATAGCAATTATGGACATTGCCACCTCATTTGTCTAATGAAGAAACCAGCACAATATTAACAACAGTAGCCTTCCCTCTAGTCTTCTCAGTTATTACCATGCAAGCACCAGTTTCGTTCTTCCCAGATGGACCACAACATACAAGCCATTCTCCCCGCTAGCTCCTCCTTGATTATTGGCTCTAAAACTCCCATCAACTCATTCCTCATGTTCCCATTTATTTTAGGTTTTGAGTGATCCCACACTCTCGCATACTTCGAAGCCTCTTTTGCATTTGGATAGAGAAAGGGGCATGACTAGTAAATTCAACTAGGCTGAACATGGGACATGCTATAGAGGTGCCAATGGTTCTCTGAATCAAATTCTCTTTTGCTTGCAACGCCCAATAGCACACCCTCCACGAGAAAGACACGGATTTTTGGTTAGAGGAGTTACAGATGAAGTTCCGCCATTGTCTACAGGTAGGAGTGTTCTTGCCTTCATCATCCAACAGCTGTTGCACCTGCCATCTATAATCCTGTCAATCAGTATAGAAACTATTGCGGAAGCTCACTCCAAGATCTTTGAATTGGTGATTTTCGGGCTTAATTTCACATTACATTTCTCTACCAAATAATCAATCAAAATGGCTCTGACCCACAACCAATATAGTCATCTCGATTGCTTCTCAATCCCATTCACGAAGGACATGATATTTGTATTGATTTGCAACCACAAAGGCAAGAAGCAAAACAATGGAATAAGGCCCAAATAGGAGACTAAAATCAAGAAGACAGCACCAGTTTTGGAGCACAAAGCGAACGGTTTTTCTCTTCTTTTCTCAGCACATTTTCTTCTCTTATTCTCATAAACGGTAAACCCCACACACCAAAAAATGGCTAGGGCAAGCAACATATATATATATATGAATATA